GGTCTCCCTCCTCCACCTCCTGTTGGAGGAGCCTCCAGAGGGCTCACACTGCCTGGGGCCATGGGTCTCCTTGGCTGTCACCCCGCTGACCACCAGCTTCTCCCAGGTGGGCATCCCAACGCCTGTGCCAAAGGCTCGTGGGTATAAGTGGCTCTCGGAAGTCAGGCTGTCTCAGGCCCTCAGATGCCACCTCCAGGGCCACACACCTGGGCCTCATCTCCCTGACTGCCCCCCTTCACTCATGATGCCGCAGCCTGAGGCTCAGGCCACAGCCAGCCTCCGTAGGCACGTTCATGCCGTCGCATGGCCAGGCCTGCGCCCGAGAGCCGGCCTGCTCCCCTTGCATCGGTCGGGCACGGGGAGAACAGGCTGGGCATGCTCAGGGGTGACGTGCTCGCGCCGCCTAACGGGAGGGCCAGGCTTCACTGGCAGATTTAGGATGGGATCTGAATGAGCAGCAGGCCTGCCACGTTCCTGGGCGGGAAGACTAAACACCATAAAGATGTCAGGCTTCTCCACATGTGCTTGGAGAGTCAATGCAAGTACAGTTGGACTCCCAAAGGGAATGAACAAAATGATTTTAAAATTCATCTGAAACAGGACAGGGCAAGATTGTCAGGAAATACACTAAAGGCAAAGGACGGCGAGGAGAGGCTCTGACCCACGTGTTCCTGCGTGACCTGGAGTAGCAGGACTTAAAGCGGCGTGGCCCTGGCGTGAAGGCGAGGTGCCTGGGCTCACTGGAAAATGGCGGAAGGCCCTGTCTCATGTAGTAATTCACCGCGTGACAGGCAGTGCCGTACGAGAGCAGGGGAGAGGATTAGCTAGTTTGTGTCTAGCAAAGTAGAAGGAATCCCTCTGTGTCTGCCAAGGCAAAGTGGCCAGCTACTGAACAGCAGACAGATCACAGCAAGTACAATTGGACATGTGTCATGTCTTCTAAGTTTTGAAGTGACAAAAAAATCACCAAAGATCAATGAATTTAATTTAAAAACCTAAAGTCTTTTGTTCAAAGAATAAGATCTCAAAAGTCGAAGACCAGGCTAGAAAATTATGATAGCAGATGAATTTCGATCTTATAAAACGCTCCTAAACAAAAGCATGGGAAATAGCTAACCTCAGTTGTTATTGAAGAAATGTAGATTTCAGCAAGGAGGGACATTTTACACCTACGACATGGCAGAAATGAAGAGTGATGATAATGGGACAGGGGACCCACCACAGGAACTCTGCTGACGGCTGAAAACGTGACGCAGCCTTGAGGGGTAAGAACTGCAAAGTGTTTGGAGAACCCTAAAAAGGGTCATATCCTCTTAGCCAATAATGCCACTTTGAGGAAATCTGCCCCAGAGGAGAATCTCTCTCTAGTCGTCAAGTGGCCACTGAGCCTCCCCAGGGCCTCTGAGAGGACCCCACAGGGAACACTGGACTCCCCTCCCCATTGTCCCACACCCCAGAAGTTCCTTTGCATCTGTTTATACGTGGACTAAGAAGTGGGTATTCTCAGATCTCATTTAACCTAAGGTTTCCAGAGTTATACAAAAATATTAGAATGCACTGATCGGAAGAACGAAGAGGCACTTTCTGGAAAGATATTCATCTCAGGGTGATTTATAACAGCAAAGAGATTGGATATGATCTGAATGTCTCTCCCCATGAGGCAGAGACTGAGTAAATGAGAGCATATCCATTGGATGAAAGAGCACAGACACATCGCTCATGAGATGCACAAGTTGGAAACATTGTTAGGATAACACGTGGGGTGAATGCATGTACCCTGACAAACTATGTGAGGCCACAGCTGTGCATGGCCTGGGCAAGCAGGGACAATGAGGTCAGGGGCTTGGTTAGGGCAGTGGGCAGTGAGCAGTTTAAAAATCTGTCATAGGCTGGGCACAGAGACTCACACCTGCTCCCAGCACTTTGGGAGGCTGAAGTGGGAGGATCGCTTGAGCCCAGGAGTTGGAGACTAGCCTGAGCAAGGGCGAGACCATGTCTGTACAAAAAAATTTAAAAATTAGCCGGGTGTGGTGGTGTGCACCTGTAGTCCCAGCTACTTGGGAGGCCGAAGCAGGAGGATCACTTGAGCCCAGGAGTTCAGGGCTGCAGTGAGCTATGACTGGGCCACTGGACTCCAGCCTGGGCAACAGCGTAAGACCCTGTCTGTAAAAAAGAAAAAAAAACTATCATAATCATTATGACAGTAATACCACAAATGACATTTCTTTAGGTTAAAAAAAAAAAGATGATGATACCCCATCCATGCAGACAGGTGTCAGCTGGGAGGGGACACAGCAGGAAAGTGTGCTAGGTCGGCACAGTCTTTGGCCTTCTGGTGGGTTTATTCCTGGTTTTTGAAATTGTCATTCTTACAGTTCAAAAATGGCTGAAATCAGCCATTTCATATGGTTCAAGTGACTGTTTCGACTGTGGCCCCTGAGCACAGGAAGTACTTAAGAGCTTACTATACAGCCAGCCCAGTGGTGATACAAGGACAAGCAGAAGCCCAGGGCTCCTACCGACTGACTGTCTGTCTGTCTGTCTCTCTGACACCTGCAGGCCCTGATCCTTCACCAGCTGGGCCGCTACAGCCTGGCAGAGAAGATCCTGCGGGACGCGGTGCAGGTGAACTCGACAGCCCACGAGGTCTGGAATGGGCTGGGCGAGGTCCTCCAAGCTCAGGGCAACGACGCGGCAGCCACCGAGTGCTTCCTGACGGCCTTGGAGCTGGAGGCCAGCAGCCCTGCCGTGCCCTTCACCATCATCCCCCGCGTGCTCTGAGCCGGCGGCCGCCAGCCTCACCTGCTGCCAGACCACGGAGGCCCTGCCGGGTGCCAGGCCTCGCCCCGTCCCCCCAAGGGGCCGAATCTGCCACACCGAGGCCACGGACGAGCGTTCAATTGACCACAGTGAACTAACCAAACCAACCCGAATCATCGCTCTCTCCACGCGCATTTCTGTTGTCGTTTTTGCCAGCCCAATGATAGTTTCCGAATCTACTGACGTTGTTCAACATGGCTTATGTGCCATATTTTGTTAGTTGACATCTGAGTTTTAAGTAAAATGATTATGGAATTAATCAGCAAATGTAGACGAATATATTCAAAGTTAAAATTCAGTGGCAGAACAGATTATTTTTATCAGAGCTGTAAAGAAAACAACTGTCCTCTCCTCCCTCCACCACTGCTGCCCACCTTGGCCCAGAAACCAAATGTGAATCTTCTGTTTCCCACCTCAGTGCTAGTCCGTGCCGGGACACCAGCTGACAGTTTCTTGGTTTTATTGTCAATAATTGTACCATGTGATGAATTACTGTCCTCACTTAGAACAAAGCCTGAGTCCAAGAATATTTATATTTTACCAATATATGCCTGTTACAAGAGAAGGAAATATGAGTTATTTAAGTTTAACTTTTTTATATGAATTCAGAGTTTATTTATCGATGGAAATATGTAAAAAGAAGCTTCAAATGGAATATTTACCGACATTCCTTATACATGACAGACACTTGGCTACATGGGAAGATGATGTTAATAATAAAATGATTTTTAAATGGACCCATGACCTGTGTCATTTGTAAAAGCCCACAGACCTGAGAAAGGCTTGGTTTAGTTCCTGGGGTGGGGAGCCATCTGCACCTGGGGGCCACTCTGGACAGGTCCCTTGCAGGGGAGGCCCCTGCAGGGGAGGGTGTCACTGACAGCAGCTGGAGAGACAAACGTTGGGCTTGGGCTTGGTTCTGGCTCCATCACCCCCTGCCCGAGCGAGCCCAGGCAAGCCCTTTGCTGTGCAAACCTCTCTCTCTCCTCACTTGGAATTTGAGGATGATCTCGGTGGTATTAACATGTACGTGTACATGTACATGTTTCCCGAGTTCTCAGCATCCAGGGCTCTTTTTTGAAACAACAGCCCTGATTTAATTTGGAAATTCACCTTAACCCTCCCACGTTGTCTGGATGGGGCCTTGGAATTGGAATAATGGCCCAGGCCCAGCCAAGCCGCATCCTGTGCTCACTGGCTGTGGAGGGACAAGAAGGGGCACGTGACCTAAGGCAGTCCAGTCAGAGTGGGAGCTGCAAGGAGAGGCCCTTGCTCTTTGCTGCTGGACTGGAACCTGAGAGGTGAGGCTGGGGCTACAGCAGCCCTCCCGCCACCATGAGGGGAAAGCGTAGAGGTGTTGGAGCCAAAGACTGAATCCCACAGAGGGGACAGCAAGACCAAGAGCCACAGAGAAACTAACAGGTTCCCGCAGGCACCCAAGCGCTCAGCTGGGCAGCTGTAGGGTGGCCCTACCTTGCCAGGATGCAAGGAAACATGGAGGGCCCGAGCTCTGATCTTAGGTACCCTAAAGCCTGGAAGACCCCATGCAAGCCAGGCACAACCTCCCCGACTCGCTGAGGCAGGCAGGCGAGGGGGCAGCTGAGCTGGGGAGAGACGGCCAGTAGGAGCCCCACCCTCAGCACTGAACCTGCCAGGCAGCACCGACCCTGCCAGGCAGCACCGGAACTGCGGGTGGTCACAAATCACGGCATTTGCAGTGTTGGGCACTGGGCGGGTGTTGGTGTGGTGGAAGCTCACCCTGGCTGGAGACTCGGGGCCCAGTCCTTGCCCAGTGTGGAGCAAGGCCCAGGAGGGCGGGAGGCCAGGGCCACCCAAGGCTAATGGTGCAGGCCCCAATCCCAGCCACCGTCTCCCAGGCCCAGCTCTGTGCCAGGCCCTTACCTCAGAAAATCCTGTGCTCGTCGGCCTGCGCAGGGACACCAGGAGTGGCTCCAGTTGCCTGCCTGGCATCCCCCATCGTGTCCCATCTCCCTCAGGAGAACCACCCACATGGCTCACAGGTGGACACATGGGCCCTGCCTTGACAACCAGAGCCCCACAGCCCCCATTTCAGTGACTGGTTCGGGTTTGGCCTTGTGACCCGCACTTGGCCAATGAGAAGCCCCCCAATCCAGGACTTTTGTTATGGAAATATTAGAAAAAGCCTCTTCCTGCTGGGTCTGATGTCCTAATAGTTTGCCAGCCGGGGGCTGCTGGTGGCCATTTGGCACCGTGGGGTGGCCTTCCGGAGAACGATGCCGACTCAGGAGAAGAGAACGAGATGAAGAGACACACTGGGCCCCAGGAGCCCTGGAGCCCCCGATTTTTCCATCACGTGAGCCGACACAGCTCCCTGTTGTGCTTAGAGCAAGCACAGGTGGTTTCTATCACTTGTACCTAAAAGGTGCCTAAGAAATGCAGGGAAGTCCTGCGGTCCCCATCACTCCCCACTTGGCAACTCTTCTGAACTCCATGGTCCTCTTCTGTAATCCCACTCGCCCACCCCGTGTTCTGCTTTGCAGTAAATCCTGTCTTTTCCAGCCACGTCACACCTCTAATCTCCCCTTTCTCCACCTTTGTCCCCAGTGCCTTGGTCCCAGCCCCCCACCACTTGCTGGGCCCCAGGGGAATTCTCCCACTCACAGCCCTGCCCCTTCCCGGCATTCTCCGCACAGCCCCGGAGTGTCCTCTGCGGGAGAATTGGATCCCCACGCTGTACACCCCCGATGGCTCCCCGAGCTCTTGTCTGCAACCAGACCACGTCCCAGAGGCCTGTGCGCCTGGCCCGCCTCCTCCCCACCCTTTCACTGCCCTGGCCTTCCTCGTCCTCAGCCTGCCAGCCCCTTCCCGGCTACGGACATTCACTCACTCGCTCATTTGTTCATTACAGACGAGGAAGCGGGAACTGCCACACACGCCTCCTGGGGCCTGTGCGAATGAATGTCCTGGAGGAAGTGACACTGAGACTCAGGCCTGAGGTGCCCGGGTCTGCCCGGTCGCGTTTTGGGGCCAGTGAGATGTGGGAGGTGCTGTCTGATTCCAGGCCAAGCGCTGATCCTAACTTGGGCGAGTCATTCCCATTCCCTGGTCTCGGTCTCCCCGTCTGTAAAACGTGTCATCCATTCATTCGTCCCGCAGATACCTGTTGGGCACTGACAGCATGGCACACACTCACTCCAAAGTCCAGCAGTCCAGGAAGTAGATCCTCCCCGCCAGGGCTTACCCTTTTGTGGAAGGAAACAGACAAGTGTAGAGTGGCAGGTGGTGAGACCCTTGGAGAAAGAGCCAGAAGGTTTGGCACGGGGTGTGTGGAGCCGCCATTTCATAGCGGGCGGGAGGTTGGGGGTGGGAGGGCATCGAGGCCACAGGAACGGCGGCTAGAAGGCTTAGGGGTGGGAGGGGCGGCCAGGGTGGTAAAGGATAAGGAGAGCAGGATGAGGTCGGGGCCAGACACCCAGGGCCTCGTGGGGGCTAAGGGTGTGTGTTAGTTTCCTGTGGCTGCTGTGACAAATGACCGCAGACTTCCTGGCTGAAAACAGCACAAACGTATTGCAGTTTGGAGGTCAAAAGTCTAAAGTCAAGGTTGCAGCAGGGCCGCGTTCCTTCTAGAGGCTCTAGGGGAGATCTGTTTCCATGTCTTTTCCAGCTTCTAGAGGCTTCTCTGTGCTCTGGCCTGTGGCCTTGTATCAGGTCACCTTCTGTCCCTCCACATCCATCGTTCGATCAGCCGCCTCTGCCTTCTGCCCTCCTGCCTCCCCCTTATAAAGACGCCTGGGGTTCCGCTGGGCCACCTGGATAACTCAGGGTCACGTCCCCGTCTCGAGATCCTTCCTGTGATCACATCCGCAAGGTCTCTTCTGCCCCGTAAGGTCACATCTTCTCAGGTTCCAGGGCTTAGGACGTGGACATCTTTGAGAGATGGGGAGCACGTTATTCCACCGACCCAGGGTGGAAGCTGGGGGCTGCCGGGCAGCTGTGGCCGTGCAGGTGGGCACCGCAGTGGTCAGACCCAGGGAACAGGAGGCGCCGAGAAGGGGCTGGACGTGGACACGCCAAAGGCAGAGCAGGGAGCATTTGCTCACGTGTGGAACGTGGGGTGTGAGGGGAGGGGAGAAGTCAGGGACGGTGGCGCGGGGCTCGTCCTGCGCCCCGGGGAGGATGGAGTGCCGGCCTCCGAGGCGAGAGAGCGGCCGGGCGGCGGAGGAGGGCAGGAGTCTGTGTTCAGGCGGGTTGAGTGTAGGACGGGACGCCCTCGGTGGGGAGGTGGCGGCTGGGCTGGAGCCTGGGCAAGAGCGTGACTGTGGGAGGCGTCGGTGGGGGGGGGCAGGGCTGGAGCCACAGGCCTGACAGGGCCATCTCAGGACGAGTGTAGACGAAGAGGAAGAGGAAGAGTCAGGGCTGCGACCCAGGGCAGGCCAAGGTGTACGAGCCGGGACAGTGAAGAGGGACCAGCAGAGGGAGCAGGAGCCGCCCATGCGGGCTCCCAGGGCAGGGTGGTGGGCTCCGGCCCAGGCCCGCGGGACCGAGGGCAGGCCTGGGAACAGGGAGGTCAGCAGGCATCCTGAGCAGCTCACTCCAGCCCCCTGAGGACACTGAGAAGCGACCAGCGGCCACCTGCAAGCCAGGAAGGACCTCACCAGAAACCGAATTGGCCAGAACCTTCATCTTGGACTTCAGGTTGCCAAAACCACGAGGAAATGAAGTTCAGTTGTTTAAAACGCCCCGTCTGTGGTGTTTTTGTCATGACAGCCCGGGCAGAGCAAGACAGGCTGCTGGACAGAGTGGCAGGTTGAGCCAGGCTGGAGCGGGCACAGGGGGAGAAGGAGAGGCCCAGGGTCGGGGGAAGAGGGGAGCTGCGAGCAGCGCGGTGGGAGCGTCTGAGGTCACAGGGCAGGACGGAAGGGAGGAGCTGCCTCCCACGGCCAGGAGGCTCCTGCAGGGCAGCGGTGGGAGGGAGACAAAGCCCTGGGGGGAGCTCAGGGGATCGGGAAGGTGACAGGAGCAGAGAGGGAGGAGGAAGCAGGTGAGAGGCCTCGCCCCTCCCTGCTGAAAGGACCTGGGGACAGCCAGGCCAGGTGGGTGTGGGCCGGGGCAGGCCTCTTCCCCTCTCAACACCATTCTAGTCCACAGGCTCCTCCATCTGTCTGTCGTCTTCCTCCTCGGGGCTGGGAGGTGCAGCTCAGGGCCCTCCCCAGGCAGGAAACTGAGGCCTCTGTCCTCTGTGCCCCTTCCCTGTCCTCACGGCCTGAGAGCACGTGT